AGGAATGCTTCACGTGGCAAACCATCAGGGCCTGTCATTCTGGTTGCTTTTGTGTATTGTTGATGTTCAGCTTCAGTGCACAGGACACACATGCAAACAAACGAAGAAAGATGTCACTCTAACCAGGGCTCCCAGCAATAAAAACAAAGGACATTTAATTTAGAGACCTTTATTAAACGAGCCAAACATCACACAGCTACTTTTACAGGTGCCAGACAAAGACAAAAAAAAAAAAAAAAACATGAAACAAACCTCCAATTCTGTACCTGTCAAAAGCCAGTCCAAATAATTCTTCTGATACCAAGAGTGACTCTAACCAACTCCTAGCTTCTTCCAACTTGTCAAAACTTGAATTAAGATCAAAAAAACTAATCCGCTTCCAATTTATATCTATATTTCAATGGTGTCAGGGGCATGGAATATTGAGGGGGGGTTGTTTTTTATTTGGGTCCTGCAACTGACAGCTTTATTTCACAAAGCAATCTGGCTGTGTGTGTACAAGAGGGAGGTCAGGGTGGGTCAGGAGGCACTTGGTATCAAACAGGCAAGCTACACTGGTCATTGTGTGTGTATATGTGTAAAACCCCACCCCATGGGGTTAAAAAAGCAGTATGTGTGACCCATGACTATGTAAAGGGCTACTACAAGGAAGAAGGCTAAAGAGGTCAGCAGAAGTGCAGAATTAAAGAGGGGAGGGTGTGTGATTAGGTTTAGCAGAATTTATATGAGGTCACTAAGGTCCGAAGTGCATATTGCCACTGTATCAGGAGCAATATAGAGTTAAACCAGTCCACCAATATTTGAATGCTTTTCATGGTTTTTGCTATGTATATGCTGCAACACACTTTATTTTAAGTGACGTGGCAGTAAATGACTGTTACTGTACTGAATCAGCCTGTTGTTTTTCTGTAGGGACATACATGTATTACATATGATAATCCTGGAGATGTTAGAATATCTAAGATCTGTACTGTACTGTGACTTTGACTGTAATATTGGTTTCTTGTAATGCTAGTGATAAAGGAATACAAGAGACAATAGAAGTTTCAGATGATCATTTTTATTTTAAACTGTATCCAATACACAATTAAATGTGACAAATTGCATATTGATAACAGTTTAAATAAAAAGATGATTATTTGAAAACCTCTGTTGTTCCTTTTATTTCTTGATCACTAGCATTACTACTCTAAATCCTTAAATTGTAGTTGCAGTGAATTATCCCAGTGGGTTAACCCTCCAATCGTTGCAAACATAACGACATATAAACCCCTTTATCTCTGACAAGTGCCATTCATCTTCAAATGACCCCATATGCAGTAACACCACCAAAGCTTCTTTATCCCTCACCCGGCGAGGCATGATACCCAATCTTATGTTTTACAACAAGGGGATATATATAGGGGCATGTGCGGTCATCTAGAGCCAAATGTCTTCTATCTAACTAAAGGACAGGTAGATACAGTATTTCAAGCAGGATTTATGGCATTAAACAGCACTAGCTAAAAACCGTCAGGCAACAGTGATGGCTAAAAAATGCATTCTGGTAGCGGAACCTGGCAAGACTGAAAAATTGCTACCACAAGAGGGTAGAGGCAACAGTAGCCCTGACATGAACTGCCAATATGTCAGACTGTACCTTGGCGCAAGGGGCCCCCAGGAGCCTCCCCAAACACAGAGACACACACAAACATTATCTATTCATTTATTTTATTTCTTTCCATCCTTATAATGTCCATTTCTGATGTGAAGGGGTCAAAAGGAAATAAGGGTACCCTGATATTTTAAAAATCAATCTGCCATCAGTAATCCTCTTTAAAGACCTGAAGTGTGTGTCTGTGTGTGTGTGTGTGTGTGTGTGTGTGCGCGCACGCGTGTGTGTGGGAGGAGGACTGTGTGGGTCAGTGTACAGTGGGAGGTGCAGGACAAAATGCCAGCCATAAAGCATGGTACAACAACCTGAGAAGAGGAGTGAAGTTAATGTGATCATTCATAAGGGACAAGATAGGTTTTGTGTGTGAGTGTGTGTTTGTGGGTGTGTGAGAGAGATGGCAGGGACAAAGGCGTGTGGAATGATGAGAGTGGGTACTGTATTTGTCAAGGTGCTAGGGTATATAATTGTCTCTGTGTGTGAGGTATGTACCTGTTTGTGTGTGCTAGGGACTATTAACTGCTTTTAAAGTGGTTTGCATAGGCTACAGACTTCCTAATCACACAAACACACACATATACACACAACCGCAACATCCTACCACTTTGGCTAAACAACAGCGTCCAACAGGGTATAAATACTGGCTTGACACTTTAATGTCAGGGGACAGCTTGTCCTGGATTAGAAACTTGTAACCCACTACAAAGCCTGACATTGCTGGGATGAAGGTGCTGCAATGGGCAGCATGAGGGGGGGGTGCAGCTATTAGAAAAGGTCTATGTGTGATGTATATGGGCATCTAACATGGAGTGTCGACTAATGAGAAGGTAGCAGATGTACAATGTTGCCTTGTGGCTGTAAGGAAAACTGAGTCTGACGCGCCAGTGTGTCAGACACACACACACACACACACACACACACAAAGGCATATGGACATGCCCAGGCACTCATACAGAGACACACACACACTTGTTCACAGGAAAAGAGAGGACTACATACTGAAAAATTAAGTGCTTTTCTCCGCTCCTTGATCCTGTTGACCGTGCTCCGAACCTGAAAGAAAGAGAGAGGGAATGAGAGAGAAAGAGACAAGTGTATCTGACAGCGCTCAGTGAAACACGCTTACAATGGAACACAACAAAAAAGGTTTCACAGCAAACACCTGGACAAAGGAAAAGAGAATGTGAAAAGGAAATGGCAAAGTTTGGACACTAGTCTGCAGACACTGATGAGCAGCGAAGGATTGTGTGTGCATGTATATGTGTGTGTGTGAGGGTGTTCCAGTATGTTCCAATGGCTAATGGGACTTGAAAGTGACACATATAGCTGGCAAACTAAGGAGACGACTTCAAGCTATCATCTGTCAACATACAGAGCGGGGAGCAACAAATGAAGCTATTGGAGGAGAAGGGACTGCCCTAGCAGAACAGATTACATTTTTACACTCTGGATGAAACAGTGTACAGCTCACCTACACACATACAGTATAGTATAATACCTGACAGGACAAGAAATGTTAGAGATATACAGTATACATACATACAATTTCAGTATATAATTGTAATCAAAATAACTCCAAACCCTAATTTACAATTTGCCTGCTGATTTACCTTTAAGAAAATTTCACTTCAAAATGAGATAACCACTCAATCATTTTGTAATATTGTGGACATCAATGTCATATTTTGAATGACCCTAAGATAATTTCATATATCAAACTTTCATATAAAGTGATTATCTGCATTTTGTAATTTAATCCATCTAAGTATTTACATATTATATACGTGTGTGCATGTGTGCTTTCACAGTTTCTGGGCACTTTTGTGTGTGCACATGCCTGTGCACATTGTCAACAATCACTGTAAGTTTGTATCGGCTGGGCGCTCATCACTGCAGCCTGGCCCAGCCCAGCCCACCACGTTAGTGAATATGCGATATGGCTTATGGCTTCATTAAGTTGCAGTGTGTTATAAATTATGACACCACACTGAACACACACACACACACACACAGTCTCAGACACAGTGTGTGCATACAGATGATGTTTTGCATACATGCCACTGCTGAAGGGCCACAAAATGAAGAGAGCTCCAGTCTTGTGACAGAGCAGATTCAACAGACCCAGCATCACGTTTCCAAAGCCCTCCTATTATTTCTGACAAGGAAGGCCTTCGACACAGTGCAGATGCTAGATAAACACCGTCTTAACATTATTTAAGGGGGAAAATTAGTTCTGGGGATTTCACTAATATCAAAAGCAGTTGGCATGGTGAGGCAATTACATGGCATAACTTAATTAATCATTTGACAATGAGGGATAGGGCATTGTTTTAGATGATTGTTGTGTGCTTAGGAGATTTTTGCACACACTCAAGGTTTCAAAATGATGCAAAATGTGGTTCCTCATGTAAATGGGGACTAAGCAATTACCATATTAAAACAGCACACCCAACAACACCTGTCGACATCCTTGGAGCTGATGGAAATAAAAGGTCATCAAAGCATGGAATTACAAGGTGACCACCAAGGAAAAGCTAATTGCAATGAATAATGGAAAGCTACTGTCAGGTAATTAGGTAATTAGCAATTAAATTGCTATATTTTGAGTGTAATAGCCACAAGATGTAGTCTGTCTTCCACGCCATATTTGTAATTACTGAGCCTGGAAACTAGCACCATGAATGAAGCATTTTCTGACTTTGAAGCACAAGTTAATGCAACAGCTTTAGCATATCAAAGTAAAATGTCTCCACATTGATGTTGTTAAAGACTAATTTGTTCTACCAGGTTAACTACTAACAATAACTTTGCAAGTTTTTCTTCACTCTGTAGGGTTTATTACACTGAGCAGCCCTATTCTTTATTCCTTCTGCATGCCTACATGCTACTGTATGTCAGCTGTCCCTGTCCATCAGGGCTGGTTAACGGAAACAAAAACAGACTAAAAAGGAACCTCCCGGGCTCAGGTATTAAAAAATAAATAAATAAGCAAAACAAAATCGGATCATTCCCATTGTCAGTGTTAAAGTGATTTTTCTACTATGCAAATATCTTTAAGGTGTCAGGAAGGAAGAAACCGGAAGCCAGCTGTGCTCTGTGTTAGAGATACGAACCAAAAGATAAGCAAGGTGAGGGAGAACAGTAGGAGCCCACTGGAAAGGT